CTTATGTTAATCCCCATACATTACATCATTAGTTTTAGATGAAGTGTTCCATGATTCATTGTTTGTGCATAACACCCAGTGCTCCATGCAGAAAGTGCCCTCCTCAATACCCACCACCAGGCTAACCCAAGCAGTTGTCATCTTATCCAAGTAGTCAGTTAATATCATTAGTAGCAAGACGACCTGACATGTGCTTCCTGATCTGATGCGTTCTCACTGCATTTAAAATAAACATCACATATGAAGTATTTTTCCCCAAATAGATTAATCTGAATCTGATCTATTTCTAGACTCCATTTCTAACTTACCAGAAATATATAAGGGGGAGGAGCAGGTTAAATGATCTTATAGGAAAGTGATCAAATTCAGAATGTGAGGCTTTTTTTTTTTTTTGGTAAAAAAAAAGGGGGGGGGCTGTACCCCACAGAGATACTGAAGAAACAAAACAACCAAATGTAGTTGTTAAACTGGAAAGGTTTCTGGTTTGCAGTTCTTTTTTTTAAATCCATAAAATAGATTATTGGGGTAATTGGAGAAGTTTTAATATAGGCTTGATATTAATGACTTGTTGGAATTAGGAAGTTATGGAATCATTGTCAATTTTCTTATTTGTGATAATGATAGGGTAAGTGTATATGAGAGTACATATGTTGGCATATTTAGACGTGTGTCGTGACCACAAGGGGGACGGTTCTTTGGGTTGCTTGGATTTCTGCACATCTTGTGAGCAAAGACACCAACAGCTTTCCAAACACGCTTTTCGGTGTTTGACTAGCAGACAGCCTTGTTAAATAGTCTCTAAGTCAAAAGGAAACTGTTTTCATAATGTAGCGTAAGAAAAATACCTCCTTTGAGAATAAAGTCAAGCAGGTTTCCTTGCCACCCTGGCTTTCTCAACCTGACCCAAATGCACTGTGTGTGCAGCCCCTGCCCAACCATGCCTCGCTGTTACTCCCATGGGAGTAACTCCATTCTTGTGCACGTAGCTGTCCACTTTTCCCAGCACCATTTATTACAGAGACTCTTACCCCCCACTATATATTCTTGCCTTCTCTGTTGTAGATGAACTGATCATATAGCTTGGGTTTGTTTCTGGGCTCTCTGTTCTGTTCCATTGATCTAGTTTTGCGCCTGTTTGGCTTACTGCTGCTTTATAGTATAACCTGAAATCAGGGAACATGACAGCTCCCGCTTTGTTCTTCTTTTTCAAGGTGGATTTGGCTATTTGGGATCTTTTGTGGTTTCATACATATTTTAGTATTCTAGGTCTGTGAAAAATACTATTGTGGTTTTTTTTTTTACCCTAAGATTTATTTATTTTAGAGCGCACACAGCGGGGTGGGGCAGAGGGAGAGGGAGAGAGAAACTCAAGGAGACTCCGTGCTGAGTACGGGGCCCAACGCAGGGCTCAGTCTCACGACCCTGAGATCACAGCTTGAATCGAAACCAAGAGGTGGATGCTAAACTGACTGCACCACCCACGTGCCCCAATTGGTGTTTTAATAGGGATTGTGTTGAATCTATAGATTAGTGTGGACATTTTAACAATATTAATCCTTCTAATCCATGGGCATGGAATATCTTTCAACTTATCTGTGTCATCTTCAAGTATTTTCTTCAGTGTCTTACAGTTTTCAGAATAAAGATCTTTTACCTCCTTGGTTAAATTTATTCATAGTTATTTTATTCTTTTGGATGCAGTTGTAATGGGATTATTTTCTTAATTACGCTTGTTGCTAGTTTGTTATTAGTGTATAGAAAGCAACAGATTTCTGTATATTAATTTTGTATCCTGCAACTTCAATGAATTCATTTATTCTAATAGTTTTTGGTGGAGACTTTACAAATATTTTTACATGGAGAAATGATTTAAAAAAAAAACAACAATTCAGTTATGGAAACTTTGTTTAAAAATTAGGAGAAGCCTAAAAACATTTTACAAAAGGTAAAAGATCTGGAGTTAAGCAGAGAATTGCTCCTAAAATACAAGACCTCTCTAACTATATCAAAAATCAATTCAAAATTTGAAAAATTCCAAGTACTTCTCTTTAGCTTTATATATGTCATGTGCTATAAAAGATACTGGCCAATTAATACTTTGGGTACACTTTATATCAAAGGACTTCCAAATTTATGGGAAAAATATCAATATAAAGTGACTCTAAATTCATGATATAGGTATTTTTAAATCTTTTGCCTGTCAAAGAAGAACTTCTTCTGATAAAGATCAGTTTGTATTATGATAGTTCTCTAGCTATGTTAGGTCCAAAGTTTGGGTATTTTTGTAATTTTAAAGTAAGAGATAGAGGTTTCCCTTTACTGCTTCATTCTACTGTATAATATTGACAGTGTTGAATTTTTTTTTTTTTTTGACAGTGTTGAATTTTACCTGAGACCTGTGTTCCTGGTAAAGGCTACCTGTAAAGGACCACCCTGTTCTCACCTATTCTGAGATAAGACTCAACTCCACCTTTCCTCTGTGACTCTGATTTCCTTGCTTAGCTGGCAATGTATCTCAAGGCCCCCTTCCCATTCCTTGAAGGAAAATAAATATTTTGCCCTTCAAAGAAAAGGAAGGGGGCTTATTTTTTTTCTTTAGAGAATGAAATGTTACCAAAATATGCTACAAAAAGATACAAGTGTTGAGTATCCATAAGGTAATAATCCATTGTATTTTCATCTCCAAATGTTTGCATTTCTATAAACAAGGATCATTTGCATCCTGTTAGACCTCCAGAAGTTAGCTTCTAGCTCTACAGAATTGCAAAATAGTCAATGAAAGGTACAGACCTCTTCAGAATCAGATAACCCTGGAGAGTTCCTCTAAATACCTAACATTGTTTCGAAAGGACACTTAATCATCTTTTTGCCCTTTAAAAATTTTTTTCACTGTTTTTCCTGACATATTGTATGGATTTAAAATCTGCACGGCAAAATTCTGTACACCAAGAACTTGGCAGAGAATAGAGTCATTATCAACTGCCCACCGTCCAATGATCAAATAAGAGAAAATCTTCCTCTCCCCATATACATATGTGGGTACACTTACACCAAAAAAAAAAAAAAAAAATCCATTCATTTTTCTTGAAGACAGACAGTCTAGACTTGAGCTTTGGAGCTAGACAGGCATATCCAAAGAGAGCTGTGTGTCTGGAACACAGTGTCTTGGCTGGAGAAATGTACCTACTAACTTGTATCCTCCACTCACCCCTAGGGAAACCATAACAAGCAGATACACAAAACTCAAATTCTCTGACTGTAGAGATGTGCTAAAATGCACACTTGGAATCAGCCCAACCATTCCATCCTTGGAAAACTTTAAATGCAAACAGAAGACTGTCCTCTCTCTCTGACAGTCACAGACTCTCGGCGTAAAGACTTCAACACCTTTTGGGAGGACGCAGTTAGTTCAACCTGTAATAGACTTCAACTCCTGTTCTTGCAAGGCAAGCAAGCACACCTGTGTGCAGATGTATATTGCTTTGACCCACTGATCCTGGAGTTGGAAATGGAAATCTGTACCCAGGCCTTAGGCAGAGGGATAAAAGGAAACTTTGCATTTCTTTTCCTACCCATTCTGTCTTCCTGGTCCTTATCACTCCATCCCATGCCTTTAGGCAGTCTGAGCCTCCTCAGATCCTAGGGAGAGAAAGTTGTCAAACCCTCCCTTGCCCTGTGGCTCCCTTCTTTACTGATCCAAATCCTGCCTGTTCTCAGCACAGTGGAGCTGCAGAGAGGCCTCAGCTTTCCACTGGGTGAGTCTTGGGTGGAGGAGGGATGGGACGTGTGGGGATGCTTCAGGGCATGGATGGCTTCCTGGGAGGAAAGGGACAACTGGGCACACACAGTCAGAAAACACCTGCCACCATGATTTTACTTGCTCTTTTTTTCTGGAGGTGAGCCTATAAATAGGAAAACACACTACCATTTGTTACCTCGATACGGTGAGCCAGGCCCTGTTTTGGGGTCTATATATACAAGATCTCACTTTGTTGTCATTATCATATTCACTGTTTTATAGTTTGCAAGGCGTTTTCTTGTCTCACCTTTACTGCATCCTTTTGAGATGGTAGAAAAGATTCCATTCCCATTTTGGGGATGGGCAAGTGACCTAAGTGATGTAGGTAGAACTCAAAACTAGTTCACAGAAGCAGCCAGACTTTTCCATGGGAGCAGCTAAAGGTTCTACTCCACAGAAGCTATTTTATTTCTACCTGTTTGGGAACCTTTTAGAATCTGCCTCCTTCTGGGGCGCCTGGGTGGCTCAGTTGTTAAGTGTCTGACTTCGGCTCAGGTCGTGATCCCAGGGTCCTGGGATCGAGCCCCGCATCGGGCTCCCTGCTCTACAGGAAGCCTGCTTCTCCCTCTTCTACTCCCCCTGCTTGTGTTCCCTCTCTCACTGTGTCCCTCTCTGTCAAATAAATAAATAAAATCTTCAAAAAAAAAAAAATCTGCCTCCTTCTAAGGGCCATGTGGAAGGCAGTCCTGTCTTAGAGCCCTGCCCCATCATGATATTCATGTATCGTTTTCTTTCACATACAGGCACACGTATGAACCTTGTGATCTCACTTAGGGGAAGAAACCATGGCCTTCCTTTGATAAGCTCTCTTGGGAAATCTGCTTTCTTTCCATCAGTGTAGTCCACCTTTTCCCAAGGGACCAATCCAAGGGCAGGCTCAGTGCAATGCTGTCGTAATTCCTAGCTGGACCTTCTGTCTTGAGGTCTTTGATACTTATTGAAGTAGCACTTGGGAGCACTGGGCTGGTACACAGTAGGTACTCTATGGAGAATGATGATGGTCTGTGCTTATGTATTAGCAATCTATTGCTGCATAACAAATTATCCCAAATTTAACAGCTTGAAACAACATGTATGTATGATTTCATAGTTCCTGTGGCACAGGAACCCAGGCAAGATGGGGGTTCTGGCATAGGACCTCTCACGAGGTTGCTGTCAAGCTGTCACCTGGGTGTGCACCGAGGGCTGGTGGATCTGTTCACTGCTAGGGTGGGATTATTAGTAGGACTTAGTTATTCTCTGGCTGTTGACTGGAGACCTCACCCATGTAGGCTTCTCTATCACTATCTGAATGTCCTCATGACATGGCAGTTGGCTTCCTCGAGAGCAAGTGGTTCAGAGAGATCCCAAGATGGAAGCTGCAGCCTTCTGTTACCTAAGTTCTGGTGCAACCTACCATTACTTCTGCTATAGTCTATTGATCACCAAGATGAGCCCTGGTACCATGTGGGATGAGTCTATGCAAGGGTGTGAGTAGCCAGAAGTGGGGTCACTGAGCCATCTTGTAGTTAGACTACCACAATTTGTCTATACAAATACCTTAGATTTTTCAGAGAACTTCTCATATGTTATCTCATTTTTAAACTTTGGTATTGGAGTTTTTTGTATTTTTATTTTTATTTTTGCGTGGGTTTATCTTGTTTTCCCAATAAATCAAAAGCCTCTCAAGGAAAGAGAATGCTGCATTTCCAGATAGCTTGCCTTTTCCCCAACCCCAATCCTCCATACCAGGAAACAAAATCCATACTAGGAAACAAAACAAAGCAAAGATAAACCAAGCTCATGTGGATTTGGAAATAGTGTTCAGTTCATGAATTAGGCAGGCTGCCTTATATTCTTGGCCTCAAATTTTGCCTCTGTAAAATGGGGGTCAGAGGAGAAAAGATGGGACCAGATGTTCTCTAAGAACCCTTAAACCTGCAAGGGCATTTTCTGAAATAGATGGAACTCTCCCCATTTGACAGATAGGAAAACAAAGGCAGAGAGTTGTGGTGTTAACCCAAGGTCACCCAGGGTAGAGTCTCTGGCAAAGCTGGGAGCAGAATACCAAGGACTGTGAGACTGGTTAAATCTGGGCCAGCTGACACTTTACCTGTTGTTGTAGTAGAATTACTATTACTACTAGTTCTACTAGTTCTACTACCCACAGCCACCTCTGCCATTCATTTAGCATCTGCTAATTGCCACATCCATTTCAAGGGTTTGTATTATCCATATGAGTCACAGCAATCCTATGCCATAGGAGTTCTTCCCATTTTACAGGGGGAAAAACTAATCCTCAGTGAGTTTTACCTGGATGATTGATTCTAAGGCACCAAGGAAGGAGTGGAAAGCAAGAGTTTGAAATTTGGAGGCTGGGTTGAGGGCAAACTGAAGTAGGACACCATAGAGGCAGGGTGCCACCCATGACATTTGGCAAGGCAGCTGCCCCACCCCATGCTGAAAGGGTGAAGCAACCTCCAGGGCCACCTGTGTGCAGAACGACCTTGACTCCATAGCTATCTAATGGCATCTGGAGCAGGTGGCCTGCTATACTCTGAGCCAAGAACAAGATGGGAAAAAATAGGCAGCATGCTTGTTCTACACATAACAGGGTGCCCTTGACTTCCAGGCTGCCGAAATGTCCACCAGTGTGGTGGGGCTGGAAGGAGAAGTGAAGACTGAGGGTTCTATCCCAGGAGCAGTCCCATACCTCCCCACATCTGCCTTAGGAGCCATCTGGGCCTCTGTCCTCTCCTTGCAGACCCCAGGCTGCTTCTGTCCCCCATCTCAGGAAATTCACATCTCTTCTCCTGCATTTGGGCTCCTCATAGCTCAAAGTCAACCTCAAACTCCGGTCTCTGTTGCCCTCCAGTTCATTATGATCCCACCTTACCCCTTCGTGTGCTCCAGCCTCCCAAACAAAGGCCTGAGTAGTAGCACTGACAGCAGCTTAAGAAGTTCCTAATTCTCCCTGGGACAGGGGAGCCCAGAATACAGAGGCCTGGTGATTCACTTGAAAAATAGGGGTGAAAAGGAGGAAATTGCTTTCTTATGCTTTGGGGTCTCTTCTGGCAAGGAGAAGGCAAAACTTCACAGCTCTTTACATTATCCTTCCATTTATTCCTTACAGGAGACCAACATACCTGGTATTATTCTCCCAATCTTACATGCAAGAAACTAAGACTCAGGCAGGTTAAATAACTAGCCCCAGGTCATATCCTTAGTGAGAGGCTGAGTCAGGATCTGAAGTTAGATATGTGTAACCTGAGCCACAGGCCATGGTCCTGATAACAATGAGCACCCATCACATGCTGGACTCTATCTTCGAGATGTTTTCTGGACGTTGTCTAATTTTAAGCCTTGCAACAACCCTGTGAGACAGGTATTACTGGGCCACTTTATGGATTATGAAACTCGCTCAGCAAGGTTAAGTAACTTGCCCAAGGACACAGAGCTTAGACTGTGGCAGGAGTCAAGAAGAGTTTGGAATCCTTCCCCTAGTCTCCAAGGCCAAGAGGAAATTCTAACCACTGGGTGTTACAGATTAGATTCTCTCTTACCCCCCCTCCATGCTCCCATCAGTATGAGTGCATGGTGGATCCAGGACTTCATGTCCCTCCCACCTTCTATACCAAAGCTTCACCACCACCACCAGCACCTGCCCTGAGACCAGCAAGACCATCTCACTGCCTCTTCGTCCATGTTTATGAGAGTTACCATATGAAGCCTAGGCCTCCAGGATCA